AAAACACACACACACACACACACACACACACACACGCGCGCGTGCGCACACCACGGGCAGACACTTTACATATCACGCATGCATACACACACGGACACACACGGACACACAGACACACAGACACAAACATACACTGACAAACACTCTTTCTCACACTCACACGCACAAACGCACACACACATACCCACAGGAATACTAACGCATTCCTACATCTTATCAATAACTATCTCACTGACCCATTACTCCACACACACACATAGTATACACAAACACATTGGTAATGTATAATATATGCTTACAACCACACACAGACTCACAGTCACGCACATTTAATATAAATGAAACATTGTTAGCAATAATAATGTTCAAGCCAAAGATACACAATTAGTATTCTGATAGTATCTCGATAATATTCTGATAGTACAGGCTTAACAGGCCGTATTAAGCCACACGTATTTTACAAGGTAATTTAAAAGGTAGAATGGTTAAAAAGGAGCTTCTGTATCTTTGTTACATAATAAAAGCTCAGGTTTAAGTCTTTTAATCTTATCGATGTTTTAATTTGAGGGATCAGTTGGTGTTGGTTGTCGAAAAAGATTAAGTGAACTTTTGTAGTGAAAGCGATATTCTAATTGAAAAAAACATTTTTTATTCAGCTAAATGAAGGAAAGAAGATTTTGAAATGTTGCACCCTTTTCGTATTAATCTATTCAGTTTTACCTTATCCTATCATGACATCTTGGGTTTCTGGCATATTATGCTGTCATACAGAAACTGATCACACATCTACCAACCAGCAGCCGTATAGTGACCGGTAGCCTTGGTCTCCATTCGTATATAAGGGCTTGGTCTAATCTTCACACCAACACTGCACAAAACGTGTGGAAAGAATAGTGTGTGCATCAACAGGAGTCTACATAAAATATAGCACTCTTTTCGATTGTTTTTCCAAGCGTGACACGAGAGTCGATGCCAGGTGATGACTCCAAAAACGGCAGCCACCTGACCCAGTTACTTACTAAATCAATACTTGCGCTTGTCCTACATTCCCCTTCTTCCAGATTCCTGGAGTTATGTTGAGGACGACATTCCTCTTCGGTCGTATCGCAATACTAGACATATATCTAAATACTTTTTCAAGGCAGGTTTTACATTGTTGGACCTCAAGGTGTTTTTCCCTCCTAGAGCTGTAAAGATAATGAAGTACGGTACAAGAAAATGAAGCCATCTCGACAGAATAGAATGACAAAGGCATACAAGTTGTACCCCGCTTACTAGAGAGTTGCATCGCCATTTCGTGACCACGGATTATATGCACTCGCTAATCAGAAAAAAGATTAAAGCGTATCATAGTCCTTTGTTGTTGTTGGTAGTGGTAGTTTTGGTGGTAGCGGTGATGATGATGATGATGATGATGATGATGATGATGATGATGATGATGATGATGATGATGAGGAGGAGGAGGAGGAGGAGGAGGAGGAGGAGGAGGAGGGGGAGGATAACGACCATAGTGGAGGTGAAGGGCTTTCTTAAAACCACGAGTGCTGGCTTATAGTGGGTCCCTCCTTGAGCGTTGTGCCTCATTTTCTCCATTGTCAATGGATCTATTGTTCGTGGAGAATTGTGGCCGTCATTGTGCCGAATTGCCGTAAACTACAACTCAGCAACCGAGGACATTGGTGGCCGAAGCACTTTCAGTTTTAATGGGACGATAAAAGAACACCACGATACAAAAAAAAAACCACACCAAAATTAACGGCCTCTTAAATTCCCTCTGTCCGGTTCAACCTGTCCCCTCGCCTGCAGGTCGGGATCAACTTCAACGAAATGGTTTGAGAGACCATCAAAATAAAGTGACAAGGCAGCGGTTCCCCGATAATGAGGTGCCCTTTGTCCCTGGGCTGTTTCCTCTCATTCCACTTTGAATTTTTAAAGGAAAAACGTCACAACAAGTTAATTTCTTACGCCACTGATGTAATGGGTAGTGTCAACTTGTACGTCCAACCACACCCACCTTCCCGTTTACAGAAGAAATATAGAGCCTAATCTTCCTACTCCTCGCCTCCCTTACTCCCCTCGCCCCCCTCCCCACCCAAAAAAAAATAATAAATAAATAAATAAATTCCTCGTACACCACCCACCCCGTTTTCTCTCTGCTTTTCTATTTTTAATTTTTTTTTATTGTTTAGTTTGTTTTCCATGAGTTTTCATATTTACTCGAACGGTTCATTAAAATTCCGCACTCAGCACTAATCATTCCTTTCAGTAAAGATAGCAGAGACATGTTTGTCAATTTAAGGTGTTGTTTATCCCACACTTTTAATTGGGTTCTTAAAGTAAACAATCACCGTTATCGGGCCTTCACAAACCCAGTTCCTTGTCGAGTGTACACACAGTCAATGACGACAGACGCCAGCTGCCAGTGAACTAATATACGAGCTAAATTATCAACCAAAAGACGGGCGTGACAGAGACGCTGGAAGGGAAAACGGGGATTGGAGAGGGGAGGGGATTCAAAACGCATTCTTTCTTAGTCAATGCATACTATTAAAGACGTTAAAAAGTCTAAGCGTTTGTCTTTAGAATCTACATCTAGATCTAGTCTCGTGTCCTACTGGAGGATACATGACTTCAGAACAACTCCGTTGGTCGACCTGCTCACTCAAAACTACCATTTTTTTAATCAGCTTGAGACATGCAGCGTTGGATCTTGTTATGAGCATCCCTTTCATTCACAAATTCACAAAAACTGCAAAGTAGATCAACCTACTTTCAGTTGGGTGAACTGAGAAAAACCGGATCCAGTAGTTTTTTTAAACAGAATGTCCAACCCGGAGGAGCCAAGAACCGATATCACAATTTTTGTTTGTTATTTATAAAATTTCAAGCAGATCTAGAATCTAGATCTAGAATCCCACGCCTTACCGCTCGATTAGGACTCCCCTTAAACACTAAACTATAAGAAGGCCTACGTGAACTGATTTTTTAAAACCATTATATACGCTATCCCCGCATTATTCGGCACACTTCTATGACCGAAAGAGATGCGCTCATTAAACTGTTCCAATTGTTGTTGCTGCCAATGTTGACTTGGCCTAACTGAAGAATTCAGTGTGTCTGCACAACAAAACTGCCATAATATTTAAAAAGTAACTGAACTACAAAAAAAGGATAAGAAAATAAAGTAGATCTCTAGTAGCAAAACACAACACAGCCCTTGCCAACCATGCACGTTTCTGTAAAGATTAGATCTAGATTCTATATCTAGATAATATAGATATCTAGATCTAGATCTAGATCTAGATCTAGATCAAGAGGCGAAGACAGAATGTGGTTTTATTTTCTTATTCTAATATGGAGGGTTGGGGATGGTGAGCAAGGAGGGCGGCTAGCAATGGAGATGGCAGAAGAAGACAAATCAATGACTATGAAATGGTGTTGGTTGTAATGGTAGTAACAACAACACTGTAAACAAACAAAAAGGAGGGGGTGCTGCTGTTTCTACTTGCGTAAATCGAATGGAACAACCAGAGCGATAGTTGCACAGCAGTAATAGATTCTAGGTCGACTTTAAAACAAAATCTATCCAATGATTACCAGTGTTAAGGATTGCATTAGGCTTTCAACTTTCAATACACCGACATACGATTCGGGAGGACTGCGGTTGCTTAGCCGATTATAACAAAACGTACCTGTCTTAGTACTCAACTCGACTCCCGAAGTGAATGAACGCCTTTGGGCTGTATATCACAAGTTCACAGTAAAAAGCAGTCTCAGCCAGTTGAGTCACGTATCCGTCACATCAATGGAAATAAATAAGTATTATGCACTTGAGGAAAAAAGGAGAAAATTCTGAATTCAGCACGTCCACTGAGAGAAACTATCACTTGCGACTTACAAAAGTTGCTTATCCACGTACAGCGGTGCACAAGGAAAAAATGTAACCGAAATATACTTATAGCAGGACTGAGATTATGCAGAAGTCCAAAGCGCGGAGTTCTCACCTAGCCTACACAACCTGTCAATAACAATGTGCCACCGCTAACCTGGCGATTGTTGGAAGCTGTGTTCTGAGCAATTATAGGCCTGACCGTTCGCTCTCTGTTGGACCAACTGCTTCTCAAGTTGTGTTGTAGACGCTGGTGTTGAGAAACCCCTCTCTCGCGCAGACACACGCACACGCACACACACACACGCACCTTCGCACACACACGGCTCAGGCGTCACGGTAGAAAGCCACGAGCAGTCTTGGCCCCCACCATCACGGATCAACTGACTGGAGACTCTCCCGTTCTTTTCGCATTGAATCCACTCAATTCAGTCACTTCGACCGAATTCAATGAATCCATTGGGTAGAAAGTACAAGACGGTTTTCTTTACTCAGTTCAAGAGTTGGCATTGTCTTTTAGATGGAGGCCAGCAGTATTCCAATGTTTCTTCTCCACTTGATAGCATGAACGGTTACTGTCGCTTCTCATTAGTGGCACCATAATACATGTAATACTTATCATGTGTTGTGGGTTGTTGTTGTTGTTGTTGTTGTTTTTCAGTTTAAAAACAAACAAAACAAACACTTTCGATGTTAAATGTCGTTTTAGTCATTTGTGGCCTCTTTAACAGCAACCGTTTTCTTTCCAGTTTTCTTTCCAGTGATAATTTACAGAATGTGCCATGTCTAAACAAGTGTCTTTTCACGTATAGAGAGCTAAAAACAAAACAAAACAAACAAAACAGGGCAGCCATTCCTGTTCTATTGTTATGATTGGTTTTCCGTTCTCTATTTTCTTCGGATCTTTTGTTTGACTAAACAAAAACGCGGTTGTCAGTAGCAGAGACGTCCTACTAAAAATATATTCGCAAAGCCTGCATGTCAACGTCCATGGCATTATTGTTTTGAGTAGCATAAAGATGTGAAAGGGGGGAGGGATTCAGTCGCGAATGGTTTGGTAGCGTTCAGTGCTCAGTTTTCAGAAAAACATAGTTTAATGATTTCTGAGACTGCTCTTGTGCCTGTTTTCAACACGGACATATCTCTTTATGATGTGTTGGGGTCGTTCAATCAACTTATAATAATAATAGTTCATCAAATTAGAATAATATATTTTTAATGAGGAACTGATGTTTGTAGGTCATTAAAATTGTTATTTAAGCGCGGGATTCTATTTCTTACAAAATGGTCAAGTTGACCGTCCAGTTAATGGAAAGGACGGGAGAATCTACGAATCTTATTGTGTCTTGATGAAATGTCTAAACAGTTGGGTTTTTTTCAATCAAAATGGTTTACGCTATCATCGTAACTTTTTGGATCACTTTGAAAGCGGGCTGTCCACGAATCTGTCCGGGATAAATCAAGCCACGAAGACGGGGACTCTCGATAAAATGAATTATACTTTGGGTACCTTTATTAAAAGCTCTAGATGAAGATGAGATGTTTCCAAATTCTGGTCACTCTAGGCGAGGAGTCGGGAATGAGAGTTGCGTCCTGCCCAACTTTGGTTCCTGTAAGAGGCGATTATGCAACA